AATAAGGGTCTTGGAAGTGCACGGCACTGAGTGCAGGCAGAGGCCCTGCCTAATATAACCAAGAGTTTATTGCAAAAGACATCACCTTCTGGTGGGCACCCAACTTGGGTACTGAGCGTGAGACATGGCTGGGGCTTCTTGAGGCTGGTCCTCTTTCCTGCCTTTGATAACAGTGGCAGACTTTCCAGTCAAGCTTCAGAGCTCTGCTGTCATGGGAGATGGAAGAGTTGGAGCGTACCTTCTGTTCTTAACAATCTCCCATGAGATAGAGTATGCTTGGGCAACAGCCTCATGGTTAACCTCCATGTRGTTTTGACCTTCTAAACTAACAGGCAAGGGAAGCTGCTATTTTTGTTACTTTTTTTTTTAAGTTGTAGATGGACACAATACCTTTATTTTATTTATTTATTTTATGTGGTGCTAAAGATCAAACCCAGTGCCTCACATGTGCTAGGCAAGAGCTCTACCACTGAGCTACAACCCCAGCCCCATTTGAGGATTTTAAGCATGGAAGTGATATGCACTGATGTATTTTTACAAATAAGAGTGTGATGTTAGGATGCACTGAGGGAAGAGAAGGAGCTTGCTTTTATGTGAGTAATGTAGGAGGGAACTCTCTCCTGCCTGTGTGTCTTCCAAATGTCACTTCAGTTGTGGTTGATGTGCATTCTGAGATTTGCTCTTCCGCATTGCCTGCAACTAGATTTTTCTCCAACTCATCATCTCCAAACTAGCAAGAGCTAAAGCTGAAGAGCAGGATGTGGTTTGGGCAAGTGGTGACCACCACCCCTTCCTCTAGTAGCACAGCCTCATTCCTATTACTGCTAAACCAGTCACTACAGATCAGGCCTGATCACCACACTGGCCACACCACAATGACACGGTGGAATTCAGGAGGAGCCCAGAGCCCTCCTCCTTTTTCCCCCTCCCCCTCTTGCCTCTCAAACACATCCACAAATTACTGGCACCTGGGCTAAATTTGCCCAGTAGAAAACAAACAACCACTTCCAAACAAGCCATTTTCCTCTGTTCTCTTTTTTCTCTTGTGGCTAAGGACAAAGAATCCAGTTGGCTCAGTCATTTTGGTAAACAAATTGCTAGATACAAACCTACTGCCCCAGGGGCATACAACTTGATAAACATTGAAGTCAAATTAACAAATTCTGTCCTCTTTACTACTAGTCCCAAACAACACTGCTACTGTTTCTGGACCTGCATAGAAAATAAACTGAATGTTTAACCCAAAGCAATTGCCTCCTCCTAAATGTGCTATTACAAACATGCTGCATATTGTTTCTCCCTTAACATGAAAAGCTGATCACCAGTCACAGAATAATACTGACGTGAATTTCCAAGCTCTGTGTCCCCAGAACATAACAATACATAGTACTCCTACTATTAAGAGTAAAATTTGGCCCCACATTTGCTTTTGCTGGTATGTCTTTAGGTGAGTTATTTAACTTCTCYGAGCCTCAGTGTCTTCATTTTAGCAAACTACYTCATTGGGTCATTGTTGAATATTAAACAAGATCATGCATGCAAAGCCCTTGGCACATTCTCAGTCACATGGTAAACACTCATTATTGTTAGCAAAATAAGATTTCATGGTACATGTATCTATGCAAGTCTAAAAGATGTGTCAACATTAGCTTTTACCAACAGACAGGGAGTTATTAAAGGCATCACAAACATAATAAAAATGACAGAAAGAAAMATTTAAATTTGAAAGCATTTAATTGACTATTTAATTGGGCTATACTTTGTCCTATTAATTCACTATTTTCTGCAATGGCAATAATTTTATCTAGCAATATTCTCTGTATTATGATAAAAGCCAATGATAATAATGTATTTGGTATACCAAGCACAGTTGTAAGTGCTATATGAGTTTGTTTAATCTTCACAGTAACTTGAAATGGATGCTACTATTATGCATATTTTATAGATGGGAAAACTGAGGCAAGCAGTTGGACTCTGGAACTTCCACTCTTAAACTCTAGGCTATAAATCAGAAGTTGGCAAACTATGGCCCAAACACCTGGCCCTCTACCTGTTTTTGTAAATAAAGATTTATTAGAACACACCTATACACATCATTTACATATTGTCCAAGGCTGCTTTTGCACTACCACCATAAACCTGAGTGTTACAGAGGAGACCATGAAATCCACAAACCCTAAACATTTACTAAACTGGCCCTTTCCAGAAGTTTGCCAACCCCAGATGTCAACTTCAAACTTCACTAGCAGACTGGGATTTCAAAGAAGAAAACTATCTTATAATAATAATAATGCCTTATTTGGGGCATGGATTTTTACGTATTTATCTCACCTAATTCTCATAATAATCCTGTGAAGTAGGTAGTTTTTTTATTGCCATTTTAGAAATAAAGAAACTGGGGCTATGAGAGATTAAATGACTAGACAGTAAACTCCATAAGACTAAGGATCGTGTGTCTTTACCATCATACCCGATGGGCATGACCTATCAACAATGCTAGGACAGAGTGGACTCTAAAAGAAACACTTGCCAAATGAATGACAGTTGTAAAGGTCACCAAGCTGAAGAATCCAGGTCTCCTATTCCAGGGTTCCACAGCTGCCTGGCAGTAAAAAAAGAGACTTTCCCTTGAGATTGGATGAAACACAGAGTAGTTGACATGTCATTCTGCTGTCTGTTGACAAATCCTTGCTGATATATTCTTCCCTGGCCTAGTCAAAGAAGATAATCTCAGCCAGTCCAAAGGGCTTTTTGTTTCCCATTAAATGCACAGTCAGAGCCTTCAGAGTTTTCTTGTCCTTGTGATTGGTGCACTTTTAGACGAGATTAAAACTGACACCCTCCATGAGATGGTAATCACATGGAATCTGGGTTTTGGACAGATTTCAGGCCAAGCGCTGCCTTCGCTCCTCCTGCCCCCTCGACCCACCTCCCACCCAGTGGTGAGTCACAGTGAGCCGGCTGCCTCCAGAGCAGACTCCCGGCTTTTGTTTTCTTTCATCTTGCTCTGTGCTGATCATGTGAGGCTCAGGGTATTAATAAACTACCGCCTGGGCCTTCTGGATCTTGCTGTGGGTCAGGGAGATAAATGAAAGGTTTGGCTAGCCCCTTTGTGCCACTTTCACTCATCTCTTGACTGTCACATGCTGGTTGGTGGCAGAAGTAAATCAGATAGGCAGAGAGCATTCAGTGTGGTCACTGCCCATAGCCAAGTCCTCTACCCGTGTTTTGATTTCTGGCCTTTCTTAGCAACAGTCAGCTCCTACCTTCCAGCCTTAGGTCACCAGTTCTCACCCCGMAAACCAGTTCCTATGTGTGTGGAAGATACATATCCAGGCAGGAAAAGTGTTTTGGGTTTCTCTTTTTTCTCTTATTTTTCAACTTAAAATTTGTGTTCAGGAAATGAAGTCTTTCCGGGGGTTTGACAGGTGCCTAAAAGGCTCAGTGGGGACAAATGTTTGAACAAGTGCTTTGGAAGCAGAGGTGCTCTAAACTGCCTGGGGCTTGAGCCAAGATTTCAGTCCTCCTCTGCAACCCAGGTTTTTTAAATTTCACTTTGCTTCTTCCCTCAGCCTTGATGCCAGCACCCAACACAGCACTATAGTCAGTGTTTTGGAGTTGCGTGGGATCCTGGCCAGGGCCATCTCTTATAGAAAGTTCCTAGGAACAGGAATTCCAAGAAAGAAAGGKTCTTAGTTTTCTATTTACAAAGTCTCAATCTAGTTTGCTCTCCTGGGGACCTGGTGGGTTCTGAAACTAATTTTCACTTTGTGTCAACCCTTTCTTTTGATACCTGTTGGAAAGCATAAGGAGTGTCTCCTTATTTTCCCATTTCCAAGACACTGCTTTGTCCTCTTGCTGGCTGTGAAGTTGTTTGTTTAAGCCTCACTTTGTTCATCTGTTTAGTGTGTCGAACTAGACCATCTGTAAGACCCCTGCAAAGATTCTACTGTTGAACTTTCGTGTTTCAACAGTAGAATCTTTGGTGTTTTTAAAATCATGACACAGGAGTACAGAATTTTCCCATACAAGGAAAGAAAACTGAACTAAGAACACACCAACTTCAGTTCTTATCTGTTTCATTTGGGGATAGCAGATTAGGAATGGGACATAGTCCTTCAACAAGCCAATCGATTTTATTTAGCACCCAATATGTTCCACACACTGCACTAAGGGCTGTATGTGCATTATCTCATTTAAAGCTCACAACAACCTCAGGGACTCTGAGTATTAATAGAAACCTTGGGTTACCAAGAAAGCTAGTGACTTGCCCATAATCACAGAGCAAATGATCAGTCAAATCAAGACTTGATCAAGGCTAAGAATTATGAGGATCCTAGTTCTCAGCCACAGTGACATCACTGCCACCAGATCAAAACAGGTATTCAGACTACAAGTCCTTAAATTGCCCTCACTCTCCTCTGATTGTCCCCTTTCTATAGAAAGTWGAGTGCAGTGAGATTCTAATGAATAGGTGCATTTATTGAACACTTCATAAGCAGGAGATATCTGGAAACTAATTGCTATGTCCTTGAAAAATGCATGAAGTACTGAACATGAGCTTCCAGGTGCCTCCAAGGCAGTCGGTGCCAATGGGGGAAAAGTTCAAGTGGGAGCAGAGCAGAGCAGTTCCGTGGTGCGGGTAGGGGGGACTGATTATGCAGAACTCAAGAGGCATCATGGGAGGTTTTGTTCTCTTCAGAGTACCCTCAGCTCTGCCCACTGAAGTAGGGAAAGTGGAATGGATTACTCACCCCCAAAGCCAAAAGTCTTTACATTTAAAAGGAAAAAAGCAATTAAATATTCAGCCTGATTCATGGGTCTTGAATTACCCCATTTGTTTCTCATGTCAAACATCTGCTCTATTGCCTAGTAGTCCTGCCTGCCATTTATCTCTCTTCGTCAGTCTGTGTCTACATGTCATGTGACTCAAAAGTGAAGATTAGAAGAGAAAAATATCTCCGTATTCTAAGCCTGGCAACTTCTATTTTTATCCACAGCTGTTGGAACTGATAGCAAAGTCACAGCTCACATCCCTGAGTGGTATCGCCCAAAAGAACTTCATGAACATTTTGGAAAAGGTGGTACTAAAAGGTGAGCCCTCTCTCTCACCCTTTTTGTAGGCAAGGGGATGGACAGATGGATTTCTCATACAATAGACATGTCATTAGATTTAAATTAATATCAGTGGATGGAAATGAATAACTCCAGCTGCATTTCAGCTGGAGTTCTGATTCAGAAAGGGTATAACTTATACCCAAGGCAAAGAATGAGACCATCATCGTCCTGTGTCTCTGGGATGATTCATTCATTCTGCTTTGCATTGCAAGCTTCTCCATGGGAGCACACATCCCACCCTTAGCTACTGAGTCTCCAAATAACGAGGAAATTGAGCTGTGTGCATCTCAATTCTTAGGTTATTTGGGCTACAGGGAACCTTAGACTTCTGGCTTAAGTAGGTCATTTTACACCCAGGAGAAGGGATTTGTCCACAATCATACAGAGATCAGCCAGACAGGATTAGAACCTCTTAACCCCAGAACTGTGTTCTTTCCACTGGCGATCTAAAAGATGCCACTACTGAGCAAAAGTAGCAGCTTTCTGATCAGGTGAATCATTGGTGCTATGGAACAATGGAGAGAGAAAGGGGCTTTATAGAGAATCAGGAAGAACAAAGAGGGACCTAGATCATGGAAACTCTACCCCTTAGCCTTGAGTACAGAAGCTTGGCCAATGTAGAATCAACACTGGTGAGAAAGAAAACTGTATCCCCAGAGGCAGTGCCTGGTAACAGGAGCAGATGAGAAGAAAAGCTCACTTTAAAAATACACAGTGTTCCACTATCATAACTGTATTTTTTTCTTCTCTACTCAAGTTCTTGAAGACCAGCAAAACATTAGACTCATAAGGGAACTACTGCAGACCCTCTATACATCCTTATGTACACTAGTCCAGAGAGTYGGCAAGTCTGTGCTGGTGGGCAACATTAACATGTGGGTGTACCGCATGGAGACGATTCTACACTGGCAGCAGCAGCTGAACAACATCCAGATTACCAGGGTAAGCGGGAAGCCTCCTTCAGGTAATTGGGTCTGCCACTGGGATGCCGGGCAGTCTTGCCAGGACTTCAAATCCACACTGTGCTGAAGGAGTCTGATCTTCTCTGATTTCATGCTTTAGCCTGGTGCAGAAGATGGGCTGAGGTTGAGGGGGCTTCCTGCTAAAGGGAGGATAGGAAGAAGAACTTGGCAGTACAGGATCAAAGTATGTGAAAGAGCACAGCCAGATGAATCATCTAAGATCTTGAAACATCATGGGATCTTGGCTTTAGGGCAGATGCTAGCTATCCTAAAGTACTCAGTAGGGTGCAGAGATTTCTCTTCCCATTTCTCACAAAGAATGAATTATTTGCAGCTTTGGGATGCTGCCTTGAATATAGTAGTGCTGTGGAGGCTGTGGCTTGGAGGACTGGTACCAGCCTTTTAAAATCCTGTTTCCAATTATTAGTTGTACAAAGGAAGACTGTGATTAGAGACTGTGGATATGCATGTGCAAAACCAGGCACTTCTCACTCAAAGGGCAGGGGGGAAGCCATATATTACCAGCAAAACATGGCTATCATTATCAGTAGTTCCTTTTAGCTTCAAAACATAACTCACCCTTGGCTCTTGTCCTCTTAATAGTGAGCAGAAAGACTGAGGCACACAAAAAATATACAAAAGACGCTGGAATGATCTCTCTGGGCTCACTAATGGACAGACACTTAGGCACCTCACATGGCACTTTGCCTACTTATCTGACACTGACTTATCTGACCACTGACTTATCTGACTGCTGTTTAAGTGGTTTCCGGGACCCACACTGATAAAGTTAGGACTGTACCGTATCAGGAGAAGGTAGCATGCAGAGATCTCCTTTACCTTATTTTATTGTCCTAGGGATCAAACCCAGGGTCTTGCTCATGCTAGGCAAGTGCTCTTCCACTGAGCCACACCCCTAGCCCCCCAACCCCCTTTAAAGAAGTGGTTTACTATGTGAAGTGTTGGAACTGCATGTCCTTTACTGTTAACAATTTCCCTATGCCTTGGTTTCTTAAGCTCAGGAACAGAGGGGATAATTAGAAGCCTCAGAGTTGTTTGGCTCCCTTAGAGTCACGTGGGCTACAACACCCACACCTCACGCACCCACACACGCTCATGCAGGCACACACATGCATGMACAGAGCAGAGCACAAAGGTGGGTTGCCCCACAGAAGCCATTTCAGTTATTGGATTGTTTTAAGAGAATGTGTTTATCATGAATAGTAACCTAATGCATTCTAATAATTTACCCCAGGCCCATCTCTCAAATGTAGGCATCATTTGAYAGTGTGAAGTTGAAACTGAAATTTCATCTTCCCTCTCAGAGAAAACTCATTTACCCCTTCTACTCGATTTCTAGAATTCTCTGTGGCCTGGATTGAACCCAGAAGTACTTAGCCACTGAGCCACATCCCTGGCCCTTTACTTACTTACTTACATACTTACTTATTTAAATTTTGAGACAGGCCCTGAGCAACTTTAGTTGCTAAGGCTGGCTTTGAACTTGAGATCCTCCTGCCTTAGCCTCCCAAAYCACTGGGATTGCAGGCATGCACCACCACACCTGGCTTGGATTTAATATTTCCTATCTTAAATCAGGAAAGAATTGCCCAGCCAGTGATATAAAGGAGCAAGTCCCATTTGTCCCAAAGACATCCTCYCTCCAGCAATGTTGGAACAGCCATTAGATGGTCACACTTGCTCAGAGCTCACCGTGGTCCCCCTGCCCACACTATAGGAGCCCCCATTGGCCATATCTATTCCCAGACATACCTAGTACTTGCATGGGCTTACTCCCTCAGAGCTCTCCTTAGTTGGACCCCAAACACTCTTGGTAGGTAACCATAATAGTTACTATTACCCTTCACGTGCTGGAGCTAGGATGGGTACCAGAGAAGCCTAGTGACTTTCCCAGCATTACACAGCAATTAGAGCTAGAGCTAAGGTCAGAACCCTGGACTGCTTATTCCTAAAATGGCAAAGCTAGCTTAACATTCATGGTTTCCAAACATTTTTCCCCATCCAGTTTTCTTCCAACTATTTATCCAGTGATCCAATTTTTTTGATTAAAAAAAATAACTTTTTAATCCAATGAAATCCTGTGCAGAAGAGACCAAACACAGCAGCTCACCCCACTTCATTCTGCTTGAGGTATTCCACCAAGCCCAGCTACTCTTTGCACACTCTGATCTTCCTGGCTTGGAACCTTCCTGACCACCCCAACTATTGAAACCACAGCCTTCTTCAGAGCAGTTACTATGATCCAAAATCATCTCATGCATAGGTACTTTCCCATCTCTGACCACTRGTTTACAGATTCCACAAAGACAGGGCCTTACCCATTCCTCCACACCTGGCACAGAGGTGGCAAGCAGTTTGAGTTGAATGAATGCATGTTTGAAGGGGAGTCTCCTCCATGACCCACTGAAGTACTTATCCAGGGTTCAACAGTGCATATTAGAAAATACTGCCATGGATCATGGAGGATAAATATGACTAACTGCAGGTTTGGGGGAAAGTTATTCGATTTCTCCATGCCTCGCTCTCCTCCCCTAGGAAATAGGAATAGGCCCTGGTGTGAGTGTTCATAAAATTAATCTATACAAAGCAGTTTCAATAGTGTCTGATGTGTAGCAAGTGTTTTAAAGGTGTTGGGTGTTATTATTATCAAGAGCTTGCTCTGTGCACTCACTATTCTAAGATCTTCATATGTACTAATTAGCTCATCTAGTGAATTGTAAATAGAACTAATGGCCAAAATTTACTGGTCACTGTAATAAGTACTTCTGTGTATGATCCCATCTGGTCCACCCAGCAGCACTGTAAGATATGCATTGCCTCATTTTATCAATGAGAAAAATTAGAGTAGTTATGAATACAGTCATCTTCAATAAGCCCCCCAGGGATTGATTCCAGAACCCTCTGAGCATACCAAAACCCATGGATGCTCAAGTCCTTTAGATTAGATGACATAGTATTTGCATTTAACCTATGCAGAACCTCCTGTCTCTAAATCACTTATAATACAATTTAACTGCTATGTAAATAGTTGTCATGATATAGTGTTTAAGGAATAATGATCAAGAAAAAATGCCTATACAAGTTTAACACAAATGTGATATCTTTAAAATATTTTCTATCAGTGGCTGGTTGAATCCAAGGATGCAAGTCTCAGGATATGGGGGGCTGGGTGTAATTTGACTGGAGTCTCAGTGTTGGTAGGATCTGGCACAGGGATTGAATCCAGGCCTGTCTTCAAGGGCTATGCTCCCTCCTCCATTATGTCCTATGCCCCAACCCTCCTGGGCTTTGAGCTCTATTATCTTCAGRGCCCTGCTGGAACCCACCAGCTCTGGAGAGCTTTCCACATGAATGCCCAACTCTGCAGGGGTGGGGGGAAAGGGATGGGGACAGGGGGAGAGAGGGAGGGGGAGG